ATCAGGATATCCTGACTCTGAGGAATGAGGATCATATTTCAAAGTAACCTGGGGGAAGCTAGAGAGGGAGGTAGAAGAAAAAAAAAAAAAACTTGATCTGATGCTGTGTTTATACTTTTGCTTCACTTGGAAAGCACATGAGAGGAAAGGACTCCCAAACCAGCAAGAACCAAATTCAGGGGCAAATAAAAGGGCATTAAAGGGCACAGTGCAGAAGAGACAACCCACTCCAGGAGTCCTTGAACTGCTTCCATGCCCTCTTTTTGGCCCTTGTCCCACTGATGACCCAGAATACTGCCTCCTGGTGTTCAGAGTGCCCAGGGCAAGGGGCAGTCAGCAGATAGTTCAAGGCAGAGCCAGGTAGCAAGGAGCTACCAAAGACAAAGTGTTTTTTTAGGGCTCTGAAGAATGATATGTAGACTGTTATACAGAGTTTATGTTTCCACTGAGAATCATCACAAAAGCAGAAGAAACTCAGGATCCATGAATAGCTTAGTGGCAGAGCTCCTGCCTTATAACTTTGAGACAGTTAAGGCTCAATCCCTAGCAGCATCCAGGAGGGTTGATCCCATCTCTTGAACACAGCAACAAAAAACTTACACTGCAACCAACCTGGGCCTCCTGCAAACCCTGAGACCCAAAGTATGAATGCAAACAGACACAGAATGTAATGCTTGGGGCTATAGTACAGCGGGGAGGGCATTTGCCTTGCACATGACCGACCTAGGTTCAATCTCCAGTATCCTATATGGTCCCCTGAGCACCACCAGGAGCAATTCCTGAGTCAGAGCCAGGAGTAAGCCCTGAGCACGGCCAGATGTACCCGGCCCCCCTTAAAAAAAAAGAAAGCAATGCCCAGTTAGCACCACCGACACATGTGTGCAACCCTCATTGTAAAAATAACAAAAGGGAAGGCAAAAACAACTTTTTTGGGAGGTGCTGAAAGCATGAGAAACTAGGTTTTCTAATAGAAAACTCTGATTTCAGTATCCAGTGCTTACGAGATACTTCTACAAAACCTGTTACTGGCCAAACAGTATGCTAATTGGTGGAGATGACACCAGAGACAAATGTCTAGTAGTAGTACCAACACACACCAGGCACATGTCTTACAAAACAATACTTTACAGTTGGGGAATGTGAGAAAGATAAGTTATTTGTTCCTTGCTCAAACCCAAACAAGGAAGAGACAAGGTTGATATTTGAACTGGGGGAAAAAAACTGGCTGGTTCTAAACTTTAAACTAGTAAAAACCGCATGCTTCTTGTTTAAGATATTTGGAAACTTCTAAGCAAGGAAGTTATGAAGTCTTTTTCTCTAGATATTTAGATAGGCTGCAGTCCATAATAAGAGTTTATTTTATTTGGGGGGGGGGCAATGTATCTCCTGGCTCTGCACTCAGGAATCACTCCTGGCAATGCTCAAGGAACTTATGGGATGCTGGGGACTGAACCCGGTTCAGGTGCAAGCAAGGTAAGCTCCCTACCCACTATACTATTGCTCCAGCCCCTAATAAGAGTTTATTCTTTGGTACATCTACACAATGGAGTACTATGTAGCTGTTAAAAAAGATGAAGTCATGAAATTTACATACAAGTGGTACTACATGGAAAGTATCATGCTAAAGTGAAATGAGTCAGAAAGAGAGGGACAGACTTATAAAGATTGCATTCATCTGGGGAATATACAGTAACAAAATGGGAGACAAACACCCAAGAATAGCCAAGATAAGTACCAGGAGGTTCACTCCATGGCTTGGAGGCCAGCCGTACATGCTGGGGGAGGAGTCAGCTCAGATAGAGAGGGGAGCACCAAGTAAAGGGTGTTGGGAGAATCCTTCCAGGATGGGAGAAGCATGCTGAAAGTAGACTATAGACCGAACATGATTGCCACTCAACGCCTCTTTTGCAAACCACAGCACCCAGAAGGAGAGAGAGAACAAAAGGGAATGCCCTGCCAACAGAGGCAGGGTGGGATGAGGGAGTTGGGGGGTGGGAGGGATGCTGGGATGCATGGTGGTGGAAAATGGGCACTGGTGGAGGAATGGGTACTTGATCATTGTATAACTGAAACCCAAGCACAAAAATTTGTAAGTCTACAACTGTACCTCATGGTGTTTCACTAATAAAAAATAAAAAAGCCAGTTTATTATAAATGACTTAGCTCATATAACTGATAGAACTGACCTCCCAGATTGGTCTAGGGCAAGAAAAAATATGTGCATGTGGTAGTGTGGGGATGGGGGGCGGAAGAGGGGGAAGATGTTGAGAAAGGGGAGCTAAGAAGGGTCAAAGAGAAATGTCACCAGTTCCTAATTTTACTTTTTTTTTTTTGAAAAGTGCTATCTAGAGAAAACCTGTTATGAAGAACAACTAAATGTGCTTAGTTTTATTTATTTTTGGGTTTTGGGTCATACCCAGGAGTACTCAGGGTTTACTCCTGGCACTGCACTCAGGGCTCATTCCTGGCAGTGCTCAGAGGAAAATAATGGGATATCGGGGTCAAACCTGGATTGTCAGTGTGGAAGGCAAATGCCCTATTTGCTGTACTATCGCTCCATCCCCTAAATGCATTTAATTTTAAAATGAAGCATTTGCGGGAGCTGGAGCAATAGCACAGCGGGCAGGGCGTTTGCCTTGCATGCGGCCAACCCGGGTTAGATTCCCAGCATCCCACATGGTCCCCTGAGCACCGCCAGGGGTAATTCCTGAATGTAGAGCCAGGATTAACCCCTGTGCATCGCCAGGTGTGACCCCCCCCAAAAAATAAAAATTAAAAGAAAAAAATGAAGCACTTGGAATAGTCAAGTATTTTCAGAAATCTAGCTCTCTATCTTAACAATCATGAAAATCTGAATGAAAAAGATAACTCTGAGCAGGCCCTTCACAACTCCAAGTTTCCCTGTGGTGGGAGCTGGGGGAATTCCAGGTCTAGTTTTCTGAGTTTAGGATGAAGAAAATGAGTGAGTTAGGGCAGAGGGGCTGGATAGATACTACTGGGGCACTTGCCTTGCATACAACCCACCCAGGTTCCATTGCAGGCATCCCATGTGGTCTGTCAAGCACTGCCAGGTAAAATTCCCAAGTGCAGAACCGGGGCGCTGGGTGTGGCACCCAAACAAAAACAAAAACAAATGGGTTAGGATAGAGAAGTGCCTGAAACCAGTTTCTCAGCTCTGGGGCCTTAAGTTGACTTGATAGTGATTTTCGTCTCTTGCATCATACATCTGAAGTTTTTCTACAAGGTACAGAGAATGCTCATAGACAAAAGTTTAAGACTTTTGTTTTTACTTTGTTTTGTTTTCCACTGAGTTCACAGTAGTTTGTCGGCTCTACACCTACACTGGCTCTGCAACATCTCCCCTAGTGTCCTGAGGATCCAGTTCTCCTCTGCTTTCCTCCACGCCCCCCCCCCCACTCCCATCGTGGTAACCTCAGTTCTGTGGTTTAAAGGTTTGCTTTGCCTGCTTCCTGGATTTGTTTCTTTATATCGCATATATTGCTCCTGAATTACTCCTCCTAACAAGATAATCTTCTATCTATGGTGCAGCAAAGCGCAAGACTTCACCCTAAAACTAAGAAATGATTGATCCCATCATCAAGTCAACTTTACGTTTTTAAAAATTCCCTTCGAGTCTCCTACAAATTTCCATTGTTCTTCCTAGTTCTGAGAAGTGCCCGTGCAGAATAATTTTATGTTGCTCAGCACCTTTTTAGGAAAGAGCTGCTTCTGAAATTAAACTCCTGGAAACCACGGAGTTACCCTCTCGGGAAATGCTTTCGTATATATGTGTAGTGGTGCTAGTGTGCCAGTGTGCCTGCGTTCAAGAATGCAAGGCCAAAAAAGAGCGTTGCACATTACAGAGAGGTTAGCCACCCGGTTCAGGCTCCGCATCCGTTTCTGAGCTCCGTTTCTGAGCTCCAGCGACTGTCATCCTAGTGTTTGCTGCTTAGCCTGCATGAAAGCTCCTAGTTGGCACCCGAACGTTCCGGAACAGTGGCGCTCTGCGCGCCCTGCAGCCGTGGCTAGGCGCTGAAAGAATCTGCTTTAGCACCTGGCCGCCCCTCAGGCCACGCGCGCGGGCCGTGGGGCCCTGTCCGAGGCGGCTCCAGCTGAATGGAAGCGCCCGCACTCACTGTACATCGGGTACAGCGCACGTCCAATGCCCGGCTCGCAGGTGCCTCAGTCCCCACGGCCCAGCAAACTGCCCCTTCGGGCCAGAACCCGGTGCGCGGCCGGGGGCGGGGCCTCTGTAAGGAACCGAGCGGAGGGGCGGGGCTGGCGCTGGGGGAGGGGCTGAAGGCGGGTCTGGCGGGGCGGGAAGCAGAGAGAGCGTCCTGAAGGGGCGGGGCTGACTCTGGAGGGCGGGGCTTGGGGCGGGGCGTGAAGCAGGGCAAGAGGGGCGGAGGGGCGGGGCTGATGATGGGGCGGGGCTGGGGCGGGAAGCGGAGCTTGCAGCTCGGGGGGGCGGGGCTGACTCTGGGGGCGGAGCTGAGGGCGGGGCAGGAAGCAGGGCATGAGGTGCGGAGGGGCGGGGTTGATGATGGGGGCGGGGCCGGGTGGGGTCTGGAGTGCGGGCAGCAGAGGGAGCGGCGTGGAGGGGCGGGGCTGACTCTGGGGCCGTGGCTGGGGGCGGGGCAGGAAGCAAAGCGAGCGGCGCGGAGGGGCGGGGCTAAGCGAGCGGCGTGGAGGGGCGGGGCTGATAATGAGGTCGGGTTGGGGCGGTGTCTGGAGGTGCGGAAAGCGAAAGGGCGGGGCTGGCTCTGGGGGAAGGACTGGGGGCGGGGCCTGGCGGGGCGGGGAGCTGAGAGAGCGACCTGCGGGGCGGGGCTGGCGTTGGGGGCGGGGCTGGGGCAGGAAGCAGAGCGGCCGGCCCGGAGGGGCGGGGCCGGGGGCGGGGCTGACGCTGGGGGCGGGGCCCGGCGGGCGCGCGGAGGCGAGGCGGCCTCGCGCGGGGGCGTGGGCGGGGCGGAGCTGGCTGGGCGGGATGGGCGGGGCTGGGCCGGGCCGGGCGGGGCGCTGGACACTAGCCCTTCCCGCGGCGCGGCTGTGGCCGGCGGGGCGGCGATGCAGCGGAGCGGCGCGGGCGCGGCGGCCGCGGCCCCCTGGGAGGCGTGTTTCCAGGCGGCCGTGCAGATGGCGCTGCAGGCCGGACAGGTGAGCGGCGCGGGGAGGGGACGCCCACCGCTGGCCGCCAGGTGCCCGGGCGCGACCCCGACCGCCCCTCCGAGGGCCTGGGGAGCCCCAGGACCCGGCGGCCAGAATGTGGGGCCGCGTGCTGAACAGGCGGGTGTGTTCGTCCTTCCCGAGCCCGTGAGGCTTCGCCGAGGCTTGACCCGCAGCCTCCTCCCGGCCCCGCGTGCACGAGCCCCTGTCTCCCGCGGCGCCTCAGCCCGGGCTGGCCTTGTGCGTGAGCGCTGGGAGCCTGTCCGGGGCTTGTTGACGCCTGACCCCTGCTTTGCTCATCAGGGTCCTTGGGTGCGTTCTGCTGTTCTGGAGGCCGAAGACAGATGGACAGGAGGGGCGGTGCGGACCCTGGGCTGTCTGGAGCCAAGCAGCGTTTTCTGCTGCAGGTGTCGGAAAATGGCTCTGCAAGTCCCCCGGATGGGTGCTGGGGCTGTAGCCGCAGGGCAGCACAAAGGCCGGCAACCCCATGGTGGTACGGGCCACGGTGTGCACCAGTTTCTCCTTGGTGTTACAATCGAGCTCTGAACTTCCTTACGTTTGAGAAGATACTACAAAATCCTCCCGCCCGGCTGTAAACACCACTCACATCCCACACTTTCCAGGGGGCCGATTTTGTAGGGGAGTTCCTTAGCCTTGTAGGAAGTGCCTGGCTTCTACCCCCTTCCCTCCTGCTGGAGGAGAGAAGACCCCCGACCCTGCTTCTAGCCAGCGGCTGCCAGGCCTCCTCTTCCCCCTTTCCCGCCTCCCTCGGGGGCCCCTCACTTCCTCCCCAGGGTGAACACATCAGGGCATTTAGTCACAGGCTTCTGCCCCGAGGAGGAGCCAGTTTAGGGTTCCTGCTCTGCAACTGCGAACCTTTGAGAGTTACATGCAGGTTTGTGCGACTTCAAATTTAGCTCCTGGGGGAAACCAAAAAACAAAAAGGCCCAACCACACAGCTTTCCTAAGGAATTTTAATCTTCTTCTAACAGCTATGCCCCTACAAGAACTTGGGATGTGGCACAGCCACTTGTCAACAAGAGTTGTTTCTATTTTGTTCTTTCTGTTCTTTAGGAGCAGGGCAGGGATGAAATGAGGCTCTGCCATTAGGAGTCTGGTCAGGAAGGCCGGGTCCTCTCGGGCATTATGCTGACGCTTCCTGCCTGCCTGGCAGAGAGGGAGAGAGCCCCGGGCCGCCCGCTGGTCTGTAGCGGGGACAGATACAGAGTGGCGGTAACCTGTGCCATGAAGAGCAGATTGTCTTATGTTCTTACCGGAAGGGGTGCAGACTGGGGTGCCCTTAGAGAGCTGGGGAGAGTGAGAAGGGAGCTGGTGAGTGCCCTTCTGAGTGCCCCTTAGCCGAGATGACTCTGGCCTCCTGGCCCCATAGACGTCCTCGCTCACCAGTAGCTGGGGATGTGCTGCTGTATTTCTTTACCTCTTCTCCTCTCCTGAGACTAAGGGACTGCATGGGTGGGGGAGCGGGGAAAAGGAGAGGGGAGCTCCCAAGAGACAAAGGTTTGTTCCCCTGGGTTTCCTGGGAGTTGGCTGGGGGTCAGGTAAGCCCCATACAATTTGCATCTTCATGCCTCTGACCACACTGAGACCCCAGGCCCACTGAGGGTTTCTCCTCTGCCTGCTTCCCTCACCATCTCTTGGCTTCACCTTTTCTATCCCAGTTCCAGTTCTGCTCACAAGCTGTAGCGGTGAACATTGCACTGTTCACTGAAATGGGCGCCTCTCATCTTTTAAGTGTAATAAAAGTATGTTAGTGCTGGGGGGAAAAGCAGCTAAGGGACCACTAAGTAAATGATGCTTGGAGGGTCTGCTCGGGATGGCAGATACGTGCCGAAAGTAGACTATAGACTGAACATGATGGCCATTCAGTACTTGCATTGCAGACCGCAACACCCTAAAGGAGAGAGAGAGTAAAAGGGAATGTGCCTGCCATAGAGGTGGGAGTGGGGGTGGGGTGGGGGGATGCGAGGGATACTGGGAACATTGGTGGTAGAGAGTGGGCGCTGGTGGAGGGATGGGTATTCGATTATTGTATGACTGAAACGTAAACATGAAAGTTTGTAAGTCTGTAACTGTACCTCACGGTGATTCATTAAAAAATAGAAAATTAAATATAAATAAATAACAAAAGTATGTTAGAAAATGGTGTTTTCTTGGGCCAGAGAGATAGTAATAGTATAGTAGTTAAGGTTCTTGCTTTACTTGTAGCTGCCCCAGCATGATCCCTGAGCACAGAGTGAGCTAGAAGTAAGCCCCAAACACAGCTGAATGTGTTTCCTGTGCCCCACCACCACCACCACCACCACCAAATCATACTTTCTTAATTGTCCTAAAAGGGATAGATCCAGATTTTGTTGAGCTTGAATTTAGGCTCCTTCTTTAGGGAAAGAAGGGGGGGGGGGGCAGAATGTTAGTACAGTGGGCAGGGCACGTTCCTTGCACGCTGCTGATGCTGGTTCCATCCTGTACACCCCATATGGTCTGTACCCCAAGCTCCACCAGGAGTGTTCCCTGAGTGGGAGCCAGGGATAAGTCTGAGCATGGCTGGGTGTCACCCCCTCCCCCCCCGCAGGACAAAGTTATAAATTCAAAATTAGTTACAAGAAATATTTAGAATAAGAGAAATCTCAGGCCCCAGGATGGTACTCAAGGGTAGAACATATCCCAAGCAGTGCCTGGGGTGGACCCCCACAAATTATCCAAGTGTGTATAGAGGTGGGATGATACTGCAGGGTCAGGGGCACAGACTCTGTGTGTGCTTGGGCCCTCTTAGTCCTCTGTACCATGTTAGGTTTTCTATGACGAGAATTGAAAGGTTAATATTTAGGCTTTGCTATAGGAAGGCTGCTTGTCCTCATACTTTTGGAGAGTTTTTCTGTAGGATTCAAACTTGTCATTAAGAAAGAGAATTAAGAAAGATGTCATTAAGAAAGATGTGATGGAATCAGCATTCTGGCCCTGTCTGTTGAAGCTTTGTCTCATTCCATGATCCCACTTTGGTTTCTGATACTGCCGTTTATGTCGCACAAGGCCAGTCAGTGAAGTAGCAGCATTTTGGGAGGCCGTCCTGCTCAGGACGCTGATGACTGCTGGACACGTGTGACTGCAAACCCCACAGAAAAATCCCATTAAACCTCAAATTAATTGATCGCTGCCCCACTTTGCTTTAAGCCAAAGATACCCATACCTACTCCGGTGTAACCTCACCTAAAATATGATGGAGGGTGGAAAGTCGTTGGAACTGTTATCAGAAGGATGGATTTGGCAAAGCTGGAAAGGAGGTGTGCGTGCTACCTCACGGATGCTTCCTGCCCGTTGTCTGTGCTCATCACAAACCCCACTATCCCTGCAGGCTTGTGCCCAGCCTTCAGAGACCTGCACACAGACTGTTCCTTGTTCTTTCTGCACAGCCTCATCTCAATCTGCTGTTCCCGATAATCAGGGTGCTTTCCCAACTGAGCCCGGGTCTCCCACTGGGCTCACTCGCTTGCAGCATGGTGTTGCTTTCAATATGCAGCTGTCCTCTTCTCTCTGGTCATCTCACAAGAAACTCACTTAATAAAATGTGGGACCGGAGCAACTAAGGCGTTTGCCTTGCACATGGCCAGCCTAGGTTCTGTCCACCGCACCTCACATGGTCTCTTGAGCGCCACCATGGGTTACCCCTGAGTGCAGAGCCAGAAGTGAGCCTTGAGCATAGCCAGGTGTGCTGTATCCCCCCACCCCCCGCCCCGCAAGAAAACCAAAAAATAAAATAAGACGTTACTTAAAGGAGTTTTGTCCAAAAAGCAGAGCCCTGCCCCACATCATCCTCCCTCTGCGGGGGTGACTGTCTATTCCCCAACAGTCCCACTCGTTTTCTAAGTGGTAGTTCTAGAGGCTGTATCATGTCATGCGTCTATTCCTTGTCTGGTACCATGGGGCTCCGGCTTTCTGTCCTGGTCCCATGCAGCTAATCATGCATGGGTGACCCAGGCAGTAGGGGTTATTACATATTCTTTCTGTACTTTTACAACTTGTATTCTCTTTAATGTTTAAACAAACAAAGAAAGGCTTATCCCCCCCTTCCCCGTTTGCTTAGTTTTCTGTATGCTTCCTGCTTTACTGTAGGGCTTTGTTTGGGGGAGACCCCACACGGAGTACATCTGCACTCAGGGATCACTCCTAGCCGTGCTCAGGGAACCGTATGTGATGTTGGGGATCAAACTTGGGGTGTTTGCATGCACGATAAATGCCTTACCCCATGCTGTGTTTCCAATCTCACTTGTTAATGCTCCCACCAGTATGATCAAGCCCTTCAGTGATTTGCTAGTGAGAAGTCCTCCCTTCTTACTTCCTCTAAAAGCCCCCAGACTCTTGTCAAAACCAAGTCAGGTCAAAACCCAGCCCACAGTTTGATCCTCCTGATCTAGAGAGGGGTTTAAATTTCGTCTTTCTCCAAAATTTGCAGCTGGTGCTGAGGCTCTGGGTTGGCAACAGCCTTTTATGATCCACTGCACATAATTTGATACTGAGGGTTTTATGATGTTCCCCCCCCCCCATTCCGCTTTTGAGGAAACTGGCGAATTAGAATTATTCTGAATAATACTGCTTTGAATCATCTTGCCTGGACTTTCTGGGGGGACAGGGCAGGAGTTGGACCACACCCAGCTGTGCTCAGGGCTCTGCTGCATCCTAACACTGTGCTCAGGGGTCACTTCTGGTGGTGCTGGGAATTGGGCCCTGGCCAGGCATGTCTAAGCCTTTTGATGCCTCTTGTCTAAGCCTTTTGATGGTGTATTTGCATTTCTGCTGGGGATGTGTGAATAATGGGAGTTGAATGATCATGTCATCAGTCTGGGCTTCATCCGTGGGTTCCTGGAGCGAATGTCCCAACCTGAGCTGACCTGCTGCTCACCGACCGTTTCCATTTTGGCCTCTCGGATGGGTGGGAGGTGGTGTTTCAGTGTGGCTTCCGTCTGTCCGCCCTCCTC